GCGTTGTTACACGTCAACAGGCCAGTGCTGGCAGGTCCAGGCTTCTGCTGTTGGCTTTATGGCAAAGTACTCCGTTGTATCACGCTAAAGCTTGATTCCTGGCCCAAAAAGGGATGTTTGAAAGAATGTCTCACTGGGTTAGCAAATACCAGAACTTTTTTTAGTAATGTGTCCAAAATGCTGCTTGTATAGGATTTGTCACTTTTGTAAGAAAAGGAAAAAAAAAATCACAAAAAAAAATCATAAAACCCCACCATTTGATTAGATTTCATTTAAACTACCTCTCAGCGTGAAATTCAAACATTAGGTAAATTTAATAAGGTTTGCTCACTGTCATGTTATGTAAAAGTTATAGTGAATGCCAAAATTGCAAAAGTTTATCACCAAAAAATAAAAAAGTTAAGTCTTTTTTTTTTAATGTGTTTCAAAGTATCCAATAGTTTCAAGTTATTGTGAACTCTTGTTGTATTCTTTTAACTTCTGTAGTTTCAATCTTGCAAACTCTAGCTGCTGGACAGGAAATAAATCATAGCCACAAGCTTTCATAATCATGGTCTGCTGGGTAAAAACAATTTTGTACGCAGCTTTGTCATTTGGCTATAGAGAGCCTCATTCAGCAAACGTACCATTAATTTAGTTTTCTTTTTTTTTTCTTCGGTACTCGAGATGTGAACTTGATGAATGGTATTCTGTAATGGATGCGTGCCACAAATTACATTGTCTTGTTTGCCTCTTTTCTGAATTTTAATGATCAGTTTATTCTTGCAGATGTGAATATTGCTCATACAGCTTTATTTCTGTATAATTGTATAAAATACAAATGGAAAAAGTTTTAAGTTCTTACCCAGTATTTAGAGGTAATGTATTATAATAGCCTTACGTTGCAGTTTTACCTACAGAGTACTGCACTTCTTTTAAACTGGATCATACCATCTTGGTAGGTGTAGATAGATTTTTTGCATGAGTGTGTTTTGGTTTGTTTCTTTTTAATTGAAGTTCGATTCTCTTAAGTTCTATTTTCAGTGTTTGTGTTTACTACTTGTGATCATGTAGTTGTGCCTTACATTGTGAAACAATTTAGTCCAGCGTGCACTGTAATTCCTGAACTCTGCGATTTGGAAGGTGGCTGTGGGTTTGGATGAGAAGATCAAATCATGCATCAACCGGTTCTGTATAAACTATGATGAAATGTTATTGAAATGTCATTTTTGTTTTCTAACCTGTTAAAGGAATGATTAATGACAATAAAAAAAAATAAATTAGACCTTTCTGATAGACCAGTTCCATCATTCAGAACTACCTAGCCCATTTTAGATAACAAAGCTACTTTGAAATGGGGGATATATCATTTTACAAATGAACTGTTGGGAAGCCACACATCTAAGAACAAACTAAATGCTCCAGTTTCTTAGGCTTGTGGGGAGCTGCAACAAAAGCTTTCACCTTCCTGAGGAGGCAGTGGTAATGACTGTTTTTCAAATCTGCTTTTTCACAGGTTAAATTCAGAGTAGTTTTTCCATTCCCAATAACTGCACAAGGCTGCTGGGTATCCCACATTCAGTTAAAGTCCTTCTGTCGCTGGCTGTGTTCAGACATGGCATTCGATGCAGTCGGACAACTGGCATAACTGGAAGACTCGGAAGTAGCGCTTGTTTTCGTTCTTTAGACTAATGAAGGGCTTGCTTGTCAGATGGAAACCTTTCAGGGTGGAGCTGCGTTGCAGAAAGGAGCCAGGTGATTAATGTGTGTGTGCGATCAGCCCCATGACAGAGCCACTGTTGAATTGTGGGGGCATTCACAAAAAATTGTGTCTAGCCGTTGAAGCAGATCTTCCTAGGGGCTCTGTGTAGACAGTGGAGACAGGTGGAGAGAAGAGGTCTCTGAAAGGCAATTAGAGTTGGGAAGTTAATTTCTGCCTTGACTGCTTTCTGAGGCATCTTCCTCTCCAGACCACAGAAGAGCCTGTTGAGCTTACATCTCTCTAAAGACAGCCTGTGTGTGAGGTCTTCCTTCCCCTGGGGTGTCCTCCTTGGAGATGTGCTGGCCTCCCGGAAATACTGAATCTTTGGGATTTGAAGATACTGTGAGGTTCTGGTGAGGCACCAGAGGTGGAAAGGGGAGGGTGTGATGCATTGTGCAGCTGAGCTTGGGATCAGGGAGATTGAGCACAGCTGTGCAAGGCAGGTGGTGGCTAAGTGGTTGCAGCTTGCGTGGTGTCCTGGAGCAGATTTGCTGTCTCCAGTCTGTTCCGCTCTCCTGCCTTACACATTCACCACTTGGCATGGAGCCTGAGTGGCTGTTCCTTGCCCAGGAAGCCGTGACAAAAGCTTGCCCATTACAGGCACAGGGGGAAGAGC